TCAATTTTTTTCCTTTTATTGAAAGTCATGAAAACACTATCGTGGAGTTTTTCTTTTGCTATTTGAGCAAATGGGAATGCAAAAAATATATTTGTGGTACTCTCCCATTCACTGCTCTTCAAGTTAACCCAACTATGACGACTTCCGCTGCTGAGAAACCCGGAAATGTGAAAAAGGTCCATTCAATTAATTCCTGAGGGGTCTGGAATACTCGATTCTGATTGGTCAGTCGCGGGATCCAGCGCGCCGTCGCAACGCTGTATATCAATCCGCTCTTCCACACTGAAACCGGCGCTACTTTCACGTCTTGTATCACTCCGCGGATTCGCGGCGGGCTCACGGTTCACAGCAACGGGCGCCATAATGTGTCTTATCGATTTTAGCGAAAACGACCTCAGAGAATTTAAGTATTAAAGTTCGACATGAAATGAATCTTGTTTTAGGCGTTTAACCAAGACCAATTCAGTCGATGTGGTAAAATGTGAACTAATCTCTGGGGTTTGGCCTATAATACATCATCCCTGCAGGGCTTTATTGTTTTGTACATTTTAATTAACTGTTTTTTTTCTTTATTTAATATACAAGTAAAAAAAAAACTTTATTACATAATAGATCATGTTCGTGTATCGTCTGGTTATTTTCAAAATTTAGGTTTATTTTCCAATGTCTCTACATTAGTTCTTACAACATTCTTGTCTGCCACAGGATTCCCAGAATCCCCTGGATGAGGGCCGACGCTTCATTCTGTCTTACTACCTGTCAGATGACATGATCAGCGTCTTTGAGAGATCAACACGTAATTCCGGCATCATCGGAGGAAAATTCCTAGAGAAGACTCGTGTCCCAAAACCAGGAAGCTCCGTGGAAAACCCCGAATACTACACACCTGCAGACTTCTCCATTGGAGCGACTGTGGAGGGTATTGACCAGTGACCTCACATCCTGGGAATCATCACACTCTTGTTTCTCTCTCATGCTGTTCTGTTCTTTTCTCTGCAGTGTTCGGTCATCGGTTTGTCCTGATGGATGCTGACCGTTATGTGTTGAGGTACCTGGAGTCACTGTACAATCACATCCCTGAACACACTCTCTCTTCCCTGAGACAGAAGTTTGGGGCCAGTCAAACCTCAGCCCAGGAGGAACAACATGAAGGTAAAAAATGTTTGTCTGGTTGTGGTCTATGCAACCTATAATCATAAAAAATAAAAGGTTCTTTATTGGCTTTGATGGTTCCATGAAGATCCTTTAAAGGTCCCATATTGTCAAAACTGAAATCTCCTGGCTTTTTTTCACGATAACTGAGGTCTAGGGGCTATTTAACTACCATATAAGTTTCAAAACAGTCAGTCCACAGTAAAATCCTGTCGTCGCCGATTCGGGGTCTGAGTCCGGCTCAAACATGTAAGGCCGGAAAACATTTCCCTCAGCATTGGCCATCATTACAGGTGTTTCTATTTTTCTATTTTCCATAGCAGGCTACGGCATACATGACCCTAGTTACCTGTGGTTGTCCTGGCCGTGCGTCACTCAGAAATCAACAGGCCAATCAGAAGAGAGGCTCATGAATATTAATTAGACAGACCAAAATCGACCTGTTCTCAGCAGAGCTCCTGAGAGAGGAGCTGTAAAAATATGGTTTTTGGTACTTATACCGCAAATATATATTCTTAAGGACATCAAGACTTAAAATAAAACTCCAGAAAGGTGTAAAATATGTGACCTTTAACATCCATGGAATCTCTCCATTTCACAAAAGGTTCTTTAGATTATTAAAATATTCTTCATTTGAAGATGAAAACTGTTCACGAAAGATTGTTTGGGGAATCAAAAATATCTTCTAAGGCATCACTACGTAAACCCTGTTTTCACCTTATGGCAAAATATATATATTTTTTATATTTTTAAATATTTCAAAATATAAAAAAATATATATTTTTGGTAAAATATATTTCAAAATATATGTAAATATTTTTCTACCAATATATTTTTGAGAGTATATTTTAAAAATATAAATATTTAAATAAATATAAAATATCCACCCATATTTGCATTTAATGTAATGTATTTTCTTGCACTTGAAATACATTTTGAAATATATTTTGGTATATGAAGGTTGAGAGTAAATCGTTTTTTTAATTATTATTATTATTTCAATAATTTATTTATTTGAGCTCACAACATATATTAAAAATATATTTTGGTCAGAATAAACATTGCAGTATGGGTTGGATCCTTTATTTGAAGTGCACAGCCTTTCGGTGACATATCCCAGATGAAAAAGGGGAAAAGGACTATTTATGATTAAGTTTGAGTGGCTGATATTCAGTTGAAATCTTGCTGAATGTTTCTCTTCACAGGTGAGACTGATGACCCATCATCACAAGATACCAAAAGATCATTAAATTATCAATGAAGTCCTTTTTTTTGTTTTCATGTTTGTGCTTTTTGATGTTGAGATTTCCAAAGTATTGTGATATTAATGTGCAATAAAGACCGAGATGAAATGTAAAATGCAGCATCAAAATGAATAATTTTTGAGGCTCATTTATGTATTTGACTATTTAAGAACATGTCCATGATCCTATTTCACCACAAAATTAGAAGAAAATAATTATTTTTGCCTTATGAACCTTGGGCTGGATTCATCTTAAGAAAAAAGTTATAAAATCTTAGTTTGTATGATCTTATGTGCAACTCTGGAAAATTGACATTTACATTTAGCAGACGCTTTTATCCAAAGGGACTTACAAATGAGGACAATGGAAGCAATCAAAATCAACAAAAGAGCAATGATACGCAAGTGCTATAACAAGTCTGTTAGCTTAATGCAGTACATGTAGCAAGGTTTAAAAAAAAAATCGTATAATAAAAAGAAAACAGAATAGAAAAAGAATAGAGCAAGCTAGTGTTAGAGGCCTTTTTTGCTTTTGTTAATCAGGTCAGAATTATAATTGTATAATAAATAAAAAGAAAAAATAGATATAATGCAAAAAGATTAAAGAAGCAAGTGTTGTTGTTGTTGTTTTTTTAAAGAAAAGCAAGCAGTTAGTAAATAGAGTGCAAGTCAAAAAGGGTCAAGTTTTAATTTTTTTTAACTACCAGAAGATTTTCTTAGATTTTTTTTCTTTGTTTTTTTGTAAAATTACAGGTTTAGCTGTCTGATTAGATTGTATCCTACATAAAGATGCCTTGTCTAACAAAAACTAAAAACCTTGAAGGGGAGAAAATTTTTGAATATGTGCGATATACATCAGATGAGATGACTAGTCTCATCTAGAAGAATGTGAGTTTTTAATAACACTTATTTTCGTAAGATTTTTCTCGAGTATTTTTTTAAATAAAGTCATATTTGATAAATCCAACCCCTTATTCTCAGTATCAGTATTTTTTGCAATAGTGATATATTCCATGTTAAATACATTTCAGTTAAGTGCAATTGTATATCCCATGGTGGTAGTTGTATTAAATTAAATTTTCTATTTTTTAATAAGTTGTCCATGCATGATAATTATTTGGATTACTGATGAGAATTAGATTTTTTTTTTTTTTGCAAAATTTGTTTTAAACATACATGTTTTCAATTCATGCTGGTTTTAATTAAAATAAAAAAATTAAATGTTCCTAATAGGCTTCTTTTTTATCATACACATTTTTTTGATGATGATGAAACATGACAAGGACATAAAGTATTTTCATTAGATTCCCATCCATTATCAGTTGAGTTGAATTACTGAAATAAGTTAACTTTTCCACGACATTCTAATTTATTGAGATGCACCTGTACATGATGAAATAAACAATGAAATAAACAAATGATGAAATGTGTCTGCAAAGACAGAAAACTCAAAACTATTCAAAAAGATTCAATATTTATAAAGCATTGTCATATACAATCACATATCAAACTGCATAAACGTACAAAGCAAGACTGAGAGAGTTTGCCATGTGTTCAGGGTCATTTCACTACTACAACACTTGTTCCTACCTCAAACATGATTTTCCATTTTGCTGCGAAATTTTTTTTTTATTATTATTATTATTTTTGGATTGTCATGCAAGCCTTTTGTTCATTACAAACCCAGAATGTGTGAAGTCTCAAAATAACACCTCAGATTCCAATCATCTCAATACGTTGAGGGTCAAGCCTAGGCCACCATAGTCGCCACTTTTGTACCTCAAGACATGCAGATACAGAAATACAAACCAACCTCAAAACAGCGCTTTAATAAAGAAAGACTGAGTGAAGTTTACAAACATATGCAGAAGAAATAACATGAATACTGAAACTGGAAAGAGAAGTTTAGTACGTTGACCAGAGCCCGATGAGGGTGCCGTCGTCACTTCCTCGGAGAAACGCCACATGCACTTCTCTTGATGTGGAAACAGGAAGCAGCAGGCAGATGAACTGTTTCCTGTTCCTGTGCCCTCGATGTGTGGAGGCCATGCGCTGGAATGGAGCTGAAGTTTACGGCGCTTTGATCTTCTTGAGACGAGGAGATGTGCCATTCTCTGCTTTAATCAGTCCATTCTCATGGTGACCAACTACAGAACACACAAGCAGCTCGTGTTAGAGAGGAAAACTCTATGAACCAAACAACGTGTAACCCAAGACATCAGACCTACAAACCAGTGTTTGTCGTTCTTGAGTGTCGTTTTGGCTTTCACACACACAATAAAAGAATATTACTGCCTAGAGGGCAGGGAAAGTTCACCTAAAAACATTTACAAAACCTGTATGATTTTTTTTCTTTCAGTAGACAATTCCAAGCTAGGAAAACAACTAAATGTAAGGGTCATGAATGTGCATGCAGCTTTGACACAAAAAAATAAAATTAGATTTTATTTCGGTGAGGACTTTTGTGTTGTCGTCAAATTGACCGTTTCGTTTTCTAGTTGAGTTTTACAATTAAAAAAAAATAAAAAATCAGTCAAAGGTTGTTTTTGGTTGTTAGTTTTATGAATCTCAAATACTAGACTGAAAGCACTGAAAATAAGTGAGAGAAACCATTTCATAAAAGCCAAGACAGAAGTAGTACAAATAGCAATAAATACTATTTACACGAAGTACAAATAAAGTTAGATACTATTTATACTGTACTTGTAGTGACTATTTGCACAACTACAAGTAGTCATTGGGTGTACAGTAGTACGCTATATAAATGCCCAATTCATTCATTATGGGGAAAAGCGTGTGCGTCTGTGCAGCTAATTTTGAACATACAAAATATGTTGGTCAAATTGATCCCTAACACAATGAAATTCAATGGAAATAGATGCAATTTATTGAATTTCTCACATATTTTACATTTAAGTCTCTGACAAGCTGCTTTTTTATGTGAATCTACGTGTTTTTCAGAGTGTCGATTTTTTGGCAAATTGCATGAAAACCAATGAAGCCAACAGGGTTGATAGCATTTTTTGGGAAAACCCAACTTTTAAATTTAGTCTTAAAAGAAATTGCTGTAATGAAAATGGTTTTAATTTTTAATTTTAATTGCACAGGGTTTCTCCAAGTTTTATGAAGCTACATTTTAGACTTTAAATACCAATTAAAGACAATGTAAGGAATAAATTAAAGCGAACACAATACATCAATGTTCTCTAAAATATAAATGTTTAAGGAGAACAATGATTTAAACGAACCACACTTCAAATTTTAAAAATACAACTTCCAACCAATCTCCATTACCTTTTAAGTCATTTTACAAAAACAGCTAACTAGAATATGGAAATAACTTTTACTGCATCTTCTAATCACACTGCACTAAAGTGATGTTCTTCATTAGTATTTTTGTGTTGTTTTTCAATGCAAATATCTAAAGATTCTTAAAGGTGACATATCATGAAAATCTGACTTTTCCAATGAGGGCTCTCTGACCCTCCCATAGACAGCAAGGTAACTACCACGTTCAAGGTCCAGAAAAGTACCAAGATGATCGACAAAGTAGTCCGTGTGACATCAGTGGTTCAACTGTAAAATTACGAACGTCAAAGTGACGTCATCACGCCGGATCTGGGTCAGTGCCGCCACACACTCGCATCATGATACTGTCGTGAACGTGCATCCACAAGTGACGCAGTAGAGAGGAAAATGTGGAATAAAGTCATTATTTTTGTTTTCTTTGCGCAAAACAGTATTCTCAGAGGGTGAGTAATTAATGACAGAATTTTCATTTTTGGGTGAACCAACCCTTTAAATAAAGCTAAAAGCAAAAATGACCCATGCTAAAAGAGTCTTTTTTTAAAGAAATTTATCAAAATGAAGTGAAAGAAATAAATGGCCGTCGATAGGCTCAGAAAAATCTACTAAAATCAAAGGGAAAACAAGTTTTCATTTCCCATAGACTGATGTTTGTTCTTGTTTGAAGCATAAACACACCTAATTTGGTTCAATTTCTCTCTCGCTCTCTCTCTCAAAAAAGACTTCATATCTTGATTTTGCATCTCAAGTTAATGTATCTTGATTTAAGGCTGTTAAAAAATTTGTATTGGAAAACAAGATAAAAATACTGACAAAGTGCATGCAACATTTAATGCCACGATTTAACGAATTTAGGACTTTCTGTTCCAATTTAAAACCTTTCAAGGCCTTGATTTCTGGAAGAGCAAATGAAGACTTTTAAAGACCTTTTAGAAAACCTGTTACAAAGAAACGGCAAGTAAAACAATGAATTAAACATGAAATTCTGAAGGAAAAACACTAAAATAGTTTACCTTCTCATTAAACACACTTCAATAATCTTTTTATTATTATTATTCGTTTTTTTATTGACAAAAAATTATTTTTACAGTATGTACCTGAATCGCGTTTGAGCGTGCGCTGCATCTGGTGTTTAGCGGCTGCTCTCTTCCGGGCCACCTGCTCTAGTCTCATCTCGCGCGTTCGGCTCAGCTGGAAACGGAAGAACTTCCAGAGCAGCCACGATTGAGTGAAACACACCATGAACAACACCAGCAGCCTGCGCGTCAAACACAGCTTTATCCTCATGTCTGGGTCTCTGATGAAGTACTACGACAAAAACAACGAGTGTGAACGTCTGTCTCACCTGATAGAAAGAGTGTTGAAGTTTCCCGTCTCCAAATCAAGCATCTGGTTTTCAGAACGAGCCAAACCGAAGCCCACAGCCAGGAACATCAGAGTCAGAGTGATCATCCGGGTCAGGACGAACCCAATGGACCACATCTCAAACCTACAAACACAATACAAGCATGTTTGCTGTTATACAGAGATGCTATGATATACACTACCATCAAAAGAGACGGCTTACGGTTTTGAAAATGCAGTAAAAACTGTAATATCATTACAGTTTAAAATAACTGTTCTCTATTTTAATACATTTAAAATGTAATTTATTCCTGTGATACAAAGCTGAATTTTCAGCATCATTACTCCAGTCTTCAGTGTCACATGATCCTTCAGAAATCATTCTAATATGCTGATTTGCTGCTCAAGAAACATTTTTTTCTTATTATTAATGTTGAAAACAGTTGTGCTGCTTCATATTTTTGTGGAAACCGTAATATATATATATATATATATTTTTTTTTTAGGATTCTTTGATGAATAGAAAGTTCAAAAGAACAGAAATGATTTTAAATATAATTTTTTTTGTAACATTTGAAATGTCTTTACTGTCACTTTTGATCAATTGCTTCCTTGCTGAATTTCTCTTAAAAAAATATGTATGTGTGTGAGAAGGTATGGCTCACATTTTGTGGTGGTTTTCATCAATGAAGTAAAACAGTCGAGACAGATGGAAACCCATCTCAGAAAGATACTGCAGAAACAACAAAACCAGCCCGACCCGCGTCAAACTGAAGAGAGATGACAAATACATATTCAAATTAAACACTCAGTACAAATATCTGATATTATAAAATGAACAGCTTTGATTCATTGGTCTTACTTTAACAGATATGCAGCCAGAATGTGTAACAGATAAAGACTGACATACTGCAGCTGACGAGGGATTTCCTCCTGAAGGCATAAAAAAGCAACACAATTCTATTATTATACAGAATAATTACTATTGTATATACATGTATATCTCTCCCTGCATCAATGTTTCTGTTTTCCTTTCATCTTCTCTTACCTTTCTTACTTTCTGGAAGTAAAGCTCAGGTAGTGTGTGAAACCAGTACGCCAGCTGTGTGAGGTAGAAGAACTTCACATGAAACCTGACAGAAAGAGCATATTACAGTCACATGACAATCTGACAGAACCATTCACAATCAAAACAACCACTGATACTGACATACGTAGAGTTTCCATGTTTTATTTGTCATGTTATATTCAGTATGCTATATTTCGTTGAACATCCACGAGTGAATTTTACTAAAAAAATAAAGAAATTATTAAGTTGCAAAAACATCAAAGTAAAAAATATTATACTGCATAAAAAATTTAATGTCTTAAGACAATTAATACATTTTGCATGACATTATTCTTTTTTATTTTATTTTATTCCATTATTATTATTGTTTAAAAAAAATGTCCAAACCAAGATTATTTCTCAAACCTGCAACAACAATACAACAGAAAAAAAAAA